AGTGGAGAAGTGTCTTGGTTCATAAAGTAGCTTTGAGTGTTAGCTGATACATCTATCAATGTTTTGCATTTCAGGATGCCCAGCTTCACCTTGATGATGCTCTCAGATGCCAGGCAGACATGAAGGAGCAGGTTGCCATGGTGGAGCGTAGGAACAACCTGATGCTGGCTGAGATCGAGGAGCTGAGAGTTGCTCTGGAGCAGACTGACAGAAGCCGCAAAATAGCTGAACAGGAGCTGGTGGATGCCAGTGAGCGTGTGGGGCTGCTGCACTCTCAGGTAAGTAAGATTCAAGTAATATGACAAATACCTGACATCTGAAAATGACAGTTTGTAATCCTGAGTTTTATTTTTTAAGAATACCAGCCTTATAAACACCAAGAAGAAGTTGGAAACTGACCTGATTCAGATCCAGGGTGAAGTGGAAGATGCTGTACAGGAAGCTAGAAATGCTGAAGAAAAGGCCAAGAAGGCGATCACTGATGTGAGTGATTCTCACACTGCACCATTTAATCATACATAATACACAGTGTACTACATGTCATTCCATTATATGTATCTGGTATAATAGAGACAACCATAGGCTTTACCTTGTAATACACAATTCAACATCTCAGGCTGCCATGATGGCAGAAGAGCTGAAGAAGGAGCAGGACACCAGCTCTCATTTGGAGAGGATGAAGAAGAACATGGAGGTGACAGTGAAGGACCTGCAGCATCGCCTTGATGAAGCGGAGAATCTGGCCATGAAGGGAGGCAAGAAGCAGCTCCAGAAACTGGAGGCTAGGGTAAATGATGTTTTGAACCTCTTTTTATCCACTATAAGAAATTCAATTGTCTCTTTGTTTTAAAACTCACTGAAAGCCTCTTCATCATTCAAGGTTCGAGAGTTGGAGGCTGAAGTTGATGCTGAACAGAGGCGTGGGGCCGAAGCCATCAAAGGAGTGCGTAAATATGAGAGGAGAGTAAAGGAGCTCACCTATCAGGTAATCTGCTATTTATGCTACTTAAACTTGAACTGCTACCTATTATATTTTAAACAACTCACAACCTTACTTCAGTAAGTGTTCGTGTTAAAAACAGTCGGCTGGAGCTCGTATGTTTCTGTTTCAACCTTCTATCATTACTGATCTATAACAGACTGAGGAGGACAAGAAGAACGTTATCCGACTTCAGGATCTGGTGGACAAGCTGCAGCTCAAAGTGAAATCCTACAAGCGGCAGTCTGAGGAAGCTGTGAGTACAAATACAGTACTTCTCATGAACCACAGACATTCTGAAAAGTAGCCTTCAGGTTTTGACTTCACTGTGTCTTACCTTACAGGAGGAACAGGCCAACACTCACCTGTCTAGGTACAGGAAGGTACAGCATGAGATGGAGGAGGCTCAGGAGCGTGCTGACATCGCAGAGTCTCAGGTCAACAAACTGAGGGCAAAGAGTCGGGAAATTGTTACCATAAAGGTAAAACAATACCTGTAGTTTGTAAAAAAAAAAAAGGGTTAATATACCGTATAAGGATTCATCTTTTTTTACATGCTTGTTCCTTCTTTTCAGACTAAGGAAGCAGAGGAGTGAGGAAGAAATCCAAGATGACCAGTAACAAGACGTCATACAATATGAGCATCTCGTTACTTGTTCACTCAAGCATGTTAAGCATGCTGTTTAATAAAAGTAGATAGTCTGCTGCATCTTTACTGTGTCTGTCACTTTATTTTTTTTTGAAGAAGTAACAGGTGCTAAAAATGTGGATGAGCGACTAAGGTTTAAGTAAAATATAAGATATAACTATAGTAATGCATGGACAAGTGTTAGACAAAAATACAAAAGATAAACCATTACACCGGTAGTACTGATCTGCAGTATGTACTGTTGGTATCTATGTCCCTACTTAAAAAGCTCTCTCTTTTCAATGCAATATTGTCATGACTGAAGAGGGTTTAAGATCATCAACACATTAACATTAGAAAAGCTCCTGGTCCAGATCAAATGTGTGGACGCACACTCTACTGTGCTGACCAGCTTAGAAGTGTTCTCCACCTTATTTAAATATCACTGGGCTGTAACCTCAGCCTTCCTGAAGTCTTCCGCTGTTGTACCTATACAAAAGAAAAATAATCCTATACAATTGAGTGATTTTAGAACTTTTTCACAAAAATCATTAATTTTGAAACTTTAAAAAAAAATAGTGAACATCTTTTAACTGTAGGGGATTGACTTGATTCACTTCCATTTGCCTCTCAGGTGAGAGTGTGGAGGATACAAAGCTTTTTCTTCTGAAAAAGTTCCCAAACATTTGGAAAAGCTGCAAGCTCATGCTTAAAATGTTTGCACTTTAATTCTTTAAGTGCTAACATATATGTTTAATATATATGTTTATGAAACATGTTCTACCAAGCAGTTTGGAAAGTATAAGTGTACATAATGTGTTGACTAGAAAAATAAGTGCACAGTAGGTGGCAGTATAACATCACTGAAAACCAGAATAGAGAACTGAACCCGAAATTAAAAGTTAGCCTATATGTAAAATATAAGCTCCAAACCTAGCTGGTGTTTAGTTCCCGACACGGTGTATTAATATAAATAAATGTGAAGAAAATAAGATCGTTACGTGTTTTCTAAAGATTGGACACAAGACTACTTTAACACTGCATGTTTAAGACTTACATTTTTAGAGACACTCCGTCGGGAAAGTCCGAAAACTCTTTCGTTTACCAGTTAAAAGAAATATTCAGCCAGGTGACGTTTATGACGTCACCTTTGAAACCGGAAGTGACATCTGTGTTGTGGCATAGGCCTACATGAAGCCTAGTCAAAAGAATGCATTTGTTTGCCATAATGAGCCAAATACAAAACAGTATTATACACTTTCCATCATCCAGATTCCTCTTAATAATTATCTTTAAAGAAAATTGAATAATGATTTAAAAAAAAAAAGTGATGACAATGGGAATCCAAATTAGGACCATAGACTGTAGATTAGGACCATTCGGACACAGGGACTGTTTGCAGGCAGATAATCCAAAAAACAACTATCTAAAATTACAAAATGAAAGCTGATGGGAATAAATATAGGCTACATTTGTGATTGTGTTTTATAATTGCTATTTTTGTGAATATCTCTTTTCTAATTTATATATTCTACATTATTTGTTCTTTAACAAAGAGATAGCACAAATCCCTAACCCACACATCTTTAGATAAAGCTGTATGTGTTGGTATTTTTTTCCTGCACTATTTTGTTGCATAGGTAGCTTGGTCTGGGTTTGCTTTTTCAGTGGCACAGACACTACTGAATAATACATAAATATGTTAGGGATACAACAGACAGTAGTGTAGCTTTATGGCCTCCCACTGATCTGCAACTTGCAGTGAGATATTTCAGGGTGTATGCTATCACCCTTGTCAGAAATATGACCTAAATGTATCCCCCTTGTCAACTTACCATCCCCCTCTCCATCATCCAGTAGCGAGAGAGTTTACGGCTAGAGGGGTTTTTAGGTTGAATGTTAGTCTAGCAGTCTGCCAGACTTATTGATCCTTTGTCTGACAGACTGAGGTTTGAACAAGTTGGAATCTATGGCCTCATACAAGGCCCTGAAAATCCGTTATCTACGTTTTTTATTCATAAATCAATTAGGCTCATTAGGGTGGTACTGAAAAAATAATTCTCAGACTCTTCCTTAAGTCAATTGGTTAACTCTCATACAAATTCTCAAATGATCTACTCAATTCCATTGTATTTGGTAATAAATTTGGAAAGAGATGTTGAAATAAAAAAAAAGAGAAAACTCTTGGGTGTATGAATAATTAAAAAAAAATTGTAATATAAAATATATTTCAAAAACAAATGTGGACTGACGCTTAAAATAGCTGCAAAAAGTGGGATGATATTTTATTTAATATTTGGTTTGTAAATGACTGCCAGATGTCTCCATAGACAACAGAGAATATCAGCAAATACTTAGTATTTTGATATTTGATATATATAGCCTGGTCTGTGTTCATTCTACTTCCTGTGAAAGAACATCTGTCGACAAAACTCTTTATTGCTTTGTGTGTTTTTAATATGATAATATTTTTATTTTATAATATTTTTTGTAGAAAATAGTTAAATGTAGAAAATAATAAAAATAATATATAGTTGGACAATGTCATCCAAAACCCTTAAACAATTGTAAAAATGAACCTTCAGCTAGTTTTTTATTAATTTAATACTCCAATAGAAGGTGCTATTTATGTGCAGGTGTCACAAAGCACACAAAAATATATAATATTCAGAACTCAAAGGATATAAAAACAGAGGTTAGCCTAGAAGTAATAAATGAAATGAATAATATCATGGAAAAAAAACACCCAAAACTACCGATTAGTCAACAAATGGGGGGTAGCTCCACTTAACAGGAAACGCATACAATCATAACAGGCATATTTGAATGCATACAACTGTTCCACATTAGGCAAAATCATATAGTCCCACTTTAGGACATGTTTCCTAAAGTGGGAAATTTTGATTTAAAATAACAAATATCGAGTTTATTTACAACATAATATATTTTTTTATATATAATATATATCCTTAACATTAAGTTTGTCTAAACAGTATGTCTCTGTCCTTTGGGTGGTCTTCACACTTAGTACTTCCTGTTTGAAGATTGTATCATTCTAATCTATGATTGGACATTTGACAAGTCATATTATTGTGATCACATGGCATCACAACTTGTGTTAACCCTTAGTTTTATTGACTTTCATTTGTTGTAGGAAGACCTATATCGACTGGAGCTTAGATGTCCCACATTTGGCTAATTCACCCTACAGCTCAAATTTGGTAGCCCATGGAATAAGTTAACTCTGAAAGTATCAGCGTTCAGGATCTGTTTTGGAGTATTATTACAAGATAGTAGTCTACAGACAACCCCCATCACTGCATAACATAAAGCCAGAATTGTGATATTGGTTTGGGTCACCAGAGGTCAGCATTGTACGCCTTGCGTTCTATTGCTGTCAACGAGCATCCTGCAATATAAAGCAGGATGCACTACAGGCTGATGTTTTTATATGTTCACCAGTCAGATGTCGTTGATTTTAAAGGGTAATTGTCGTACTCTAGTCGATTCTAGGTCAGGTTTACGGACCGGGTTTTCTAAGATGAGCTCCACCGTGGTTTGGGATGCGCAGTGGGCTCTGTAGCCGCTGCTGACTGGGACTGCTGCAGTGTAAACAAGACTCTGCGAGGCTGCAGCGCCGCCGTCTGTGGGCGAAAACACAACGACACAGTACCATTGGCAGCCTAGTTCACTTCTCAGTTTAAACGAGAACAGTTGTATGAAGAATCCTAAATGGGTTTGTTAGTGCGCAGTAAGTTTTTATGCAGCAGTGGATGTCTTTGTTTCATTTAATTCGACTTGATATGTAGGCTACCTCGCGACGCTTATTTATTCAGATGGACTTCACACCCAAAGAAGTATCGGGAAATGACTGACAACCAGGAAACCCCAGATGCTGAGGATAGTAGTCCGTCCGGGGGCGCGACCTTGCCGCTCCGGCCGCCAAGCGAGCGCCTCTCATGCCCCAAGAGCAGCGTCTGCTCTCGCTCCTACTTTGTTGTAGTGATGGTGTTTTTTCACGTCTACATCATTAATGTTATTGTGCTGCTATTCTACGTGCATTACAGCAGCGGACAGGAAGATGCCAACCGGAGTCGTGATGCTCCCCGCCGTGACCAACAGCGCACTGAGTCGGGACGTCCGCCATCAAAGCCCGACTTTCTGCGCGATGTTTCTCTGACAAGAGTCGAGGGAATACGGGTGAGTTACTCCATGATTTACTCTCTTAACATCTCTTTCACACACACTTAGATCTAGGGAATCCACAAATCACTGCTCTGGCTATTCTTTCAGGTGGGACATGTGCAGAAGGTGTCACTGGTGCCAGGCAAAGTGCACGAGATGCGGACTCTGAGTATGAAACCTCTGCTGTTTGGTAAGAGCCAAAACATTCACTTAACAAATTTGCAGCGCACACACACGCGAGTCTCTAGTGGACAAACAAGTTCACTCTTCTGTTAATGAAACAGACTAGGTTGCATTTACCCATCACTTTAATCGTCATCACAAATACTGTTTAAACATCCACAGACCAGAGTATGTATACAAGTGGCTATGTAAGCTCAGTCAAGGCCACATGAAATAGTCCTGAGGCTAATACTCAGCTCTGCACAACAGACCCAATTAAATGGCTGCAGCTAAGAGTAGACTAGTACATTTTGTCAGTAGATGCAAGTTATCCTACATTAAATTTGTAGAAACATTTTGATGTGTAAAAATGTAAAGTCTATTTTCTTGTTTTCCCCAGTTCTTTTCATTAGAGTTTTGTTATTCTACTTGAAAAGCTTTAGCTGTATGGGCAGGTCAGTGTTAATATCAATGGTTCCCCTTGGCAACAGTAGGTCTGCAAACTGGTAGCTGATCAAATGATTAGGACCTGTCTCGGATACAAAACAGACTGTTTAGTAATGGCTGAATTGATGATCATTTTCTCTATTTTACTTTACACAAAAATCTTAAAAGTCTGTCACAGTTTCATGGAAGCCAGCGTGGTTAAGCAAACATTTTCAACACAAAACAATGAGTGATGAACCAGAATCAGTGGAGACTGTGCTGAAAAAAATTACTTGATTAATAAATTGTCACCTGATTGTTTTTTAATGCAGGTGAACTTATTTAGAAAAAAACAAATACTCACTTCAGCTTAAGTTAACATGCAAGTAGAGCATCTGAAAGAAAATTATAACGGTTGAGTATATATAACTGCAATTTAGTGGATATTAAGTTTTCAACAGAGTTACAGTAAAGCTGCAATCATTGGATTTTGTCATAGGACATTTTTCCCCCTCTGTTTATGACTATTTATTTCTGCAGAGATCCCTAATTTTTTGTCTGAGGATGAGTGCCGTGTTGTGATGCAGCTTGCACAGCTTAAAGGTCTCATGGAGAGCCAGCTGATGGTGCAAGAGGGGCAGGAAGAGCTGGCCAAAGAGCTCAACTTGAGCCCAGAGGAGATCTTCAACCTTCTGGATATCAACCAGGACGGACAGTTGCAGCTCCATGAGGTGTATGTCAGTTTGTGGACTGTGAGCACACAGGCTCCAGTGTATGGCATCTATGCACTGCATATATGCACTCCATGTATGTTTCTAAGCTCACATTCGATTAAGTCATTCATATTTTACTGTCGCCGCTCTGACAGATACTGACTCATTCTAGAGTGAGGGACGGCATCTGGCTCACACCAGAGAATCTGCGAGAAATCTACGCTGGACTCAAAGCTGACAAGGATGGTAACGGTAAGAGCTCACTTACTGGTATGTCATCATTTAAGTGTCTAAATTAAGAGTATAAAAACATTAAACATTATATTGAATAATATGTTATGTTTATTCATATTTTTAAGAAGGTATTTATAAGAGTTTTAATATTTTTTAACACATCTTTAGAATTGTAGTGTTAGTAGTCCAGGAGAGTCAAACAGGGGGAAGGGTGTTTGCTTTAATGTTTGGCTGTTACATACTTTTTCTCCATAAAGGACATTGATGACCTCTTGGATTGCTGTATTTGAAGGATTTTTAAACAAAAAGCTTTTTTTTTTTTTTTCATGATTTATTGATATCATTGAGAATTTAAGTATATCCAGTGTCATGTATTCACCTGATTGTAGAGTACATAAGTGATACAAAGCATTTGGACAATGAGTCTTCAACCCATATCGGCATTCATTTAAACATGTCTTATTGGAATCCACAGCTCTTATTTAAACTAAGATCTGTATTAACTTAAACTTTACTGCATGTTATAAAGCTGTAAGAAAAAACTAATGTCCCTGGACAGGTAGTTCTAATGTTGAAAACTGGGCTCCTGCATTCTTCTGTATATGGTCGCTAATTGCTATAATGACAGAATATTTATGAATGATGTCAGTTGTGCAAAAACAAAAGTTAAGTATAGACTGAATCAGAATTATTTTTACACTGTCCTATTTTGGACAGGTTTGCTGAGTCTAGAGGAGTTCACACTTCTGAGCAGTGATGCCTTCCAGCGCTTCCTGATGCAGCAGGGCGTGAAAAGGAGTCAGCTGGTTAGGAACAGCAGACACACATGGCTGTACCAGGGCAAGGAAGCACACCAGGTCCTCCAGGACATCAAGACCAGGTAGAAAGTCGAAATATGTTCTCTGATTTAACATTAAGAAGTATCTAAGAAAAAAAAGGGGCTTTCTAATACTTTACAACTTCCAGATTGTTTTCCCACTTTTTTTTTTCTTTTTAAAAAGGGTAACTCGCCTCACTCGGCTCCCACCGTCATTGGTGGACCTTAGTGAGCCTCTTCAGGTGGTTCGCTATGAGGAAGGAGGACACTACCACGCCCACCATGACAGTGGACCTGTGTATCCTGAAACCGCCTGCACACACACACGGCTCGCTGCAAACACCTCCACCCCTTTTGAGACTTCCTGCCGGTGAGATCACTTAGGTGCATGTCGTTGAAAGAGGCTGACATTTCTCAACCAAAAAACAAACTGAAAAGTCAAATGTATCTGTCCAGTGTGATTACTAAACTGATCACTGACATCCCATCATGACAGCTTGCATGTGAGCTTGTGTGAAGCCATATTGTGAATGTAGAAGAGTTTGTGTGCTTGGCACTTGTTTTCAAGTGTCTGTACAGTATATGTGTGTTTCTGTGTTTGCACCATACGTGTGTGTCAATTTAAATCTGTGTTGCACACCCAGGTACATCACAGTTCTCTTCTACCTGAACTCTGTTGAGGGGGGTGGGGAGACCGCATTCCCTGTGGCAGACAACAGGACCTATGATGAAGTGGTGCGTAACTGTGTGTGGGTCCTGAAGTGTGTACAGAGAGCCCTGTAAAAGTATTGTGTACATACTCTGCATGTCTTTCATATCTGTGTTAACTCACAAGTTTTTCAGCTTGTGCATGGCTCTAACGCTAAACAGAGTGCGTTACTCAGTTTGGTTGTGTGTTTCAGGCTCTCATACAGAACGACATTGATCTCATGGACACCAGAAGGAATTGTGACAAAAGTAATCTGAGGGTGAAGCCTACAAAAGGGACAGCTGTTTTCTGGTACAACTATCTCTCTGATGGAAGAGGTAGGCAACAGATGAAAAGTTAAGGAACAATTTAGGAATATAAAGTTGCAGGAACAATGTAAATCAGCAGGCTCTATATTATTTACTCTTCATGTAAAACATATTTTACATTTTTCTGGTACACACACAGTGAACATGATATCCCATACTTAAAATGCAAAGAACAAGTCTATGTTACATATAATCACAATATCATGAAAAAATAAAATAAACAATACCATAGTCATGGTAGCAGCTGCTGGCTGTTTGTTCACACAGTGGCGTTTTGAGCTAAATGTCCGCATGTTAACAAGCTCATGGATAAAACAATAACACCTTGATGTTCATCATTTGTTATATTTATAGCATGCAGTATTCCAGTATTTGCTACTTAGTCCTTAAAGCTAATGGAAATGTCATACTTTGTCTGGATCAACATTGCCATCCTAGGGGACTTTCAGCTCTCCTGCCAAAAATGCAGAATGTGAAATTTATTTGTGATATTTATTTTTTCATGCTCCATGGGACAAGCTCAGGCCCAGGGTTGATGTTTCAATAAGATTAAAGCCCATGTTGGTGAGGAAAGATTTAAAAAAAAAACAAAAAAAAAAACTAAGACAACATTCAATCAATAATAATATTAGTAATACTAATAGTAATTCAAATCAGTGCATTCATCTATATTTATTTGATTAACTATTCATTGTCCAATGACAGATACAATTTAGCTGGGGGAGTAAAACTGTTTAAATATTTCAAGCCTCGTGTTTGATGGTCAAAACATGAGTCCTTTCAAAATACAGAAATGATATTAAGGACAACAACATTCAATTTGGTTTTTTTTCTCCCTCAATAGGTTGGGTAGGAGAACAGGACGAATATGCGTTGCATGGAGGCTGTGTGGTGACACATGGCACCAAGTGGGTCGCCAATAAATGGATCAACATTGATCCAGATTACCAGCGGCAGGCTCGCTACCAGCAGCTGGTTTCCCAGCAGCCAGAGGACGACGATGACGAGGGTCTGACCCTGAACCCGGAAACACAGAGTTCTGATGTTCATCAAGACTTGTAGCTTTTAAACCAAATTTATATTTATAGAAAAATAAATTCTACCTAGCCTTCTTCAGTCCTGTGCACAAATTTTTCACACACCCCCTGTGGCCAGTATGTAGAGACAAGATTTATTCAGGGAACGAGGTCACAGGGGCTTTATGCAACTGTAAAAAGATGCTGTTGTTAAATGTTGCTTGGATATTTTTATCCTGTTCACTTTTTCATTAGTCTGCTAATTATAATAATTTCCCATCAAAGGAATGTTGCACTAGAAACTCATTTAAAGCAACAATATGTAGGTATTTGGTTTGGTTCGCTGTGAGGCCCAGAGGAGCGTAAATGCACTGTCATAAGACTCACATAGTGCACAGTGCTGTTAGCCTCCCCTCTTTGACAACGTGCATTTGTGAACAAGCAGATGAAGTGAGGCCGGCAAAGACGTTGCAAGAAGCTAAACAACCATGTGGACTAGGTAGGTTAAGGTGGTAATGTCAATTTAAAAGGTATTATATTTAAGTAATATTACCAGATTTTGTGCTATTGAATCAACCTTTGATACAGCTATTTAAAGGTGGAAAAGTTACATATTGTTGCTTTAAGAAGTCGAGACAAAATCAATCCTTTGCATGCATTAGCGTTTGCTGTTGCTTTGAGCAAAAATTGCACTTGAATATGGAAGTGGCTGCTGTAAACATGTCAATGTCCTTCCTTGTTGTTGCTACAATGACCAAAAAAAGGCTCACACACTGTCAGTGTGATGCATGTTGCCTTGTCTTTTTTCCTTGAATTTATTCAGATTTTCTGCCAGATTATTTTTTAGAAGGGTGATATTTGAATGTTTCATTTGATTTATTGAATTATGTATTTTTTCCCCTAAGCTGCACTGTATCACTCTCCCACACGGAATAAAAGTTTAAATCAGCTTGTATGTCTTCAGCTTTTATCTTTCTCTTTTAAAGTAAGTATGAATAAGTATTGACATATATGAACATTCAAATTAGAGCCCCGAATTATATTTTATTAGTGAGTGATAGTATTTGTTTCATTGTAAGCTCTGAGCATTTGATTTGTAGTATTCCCATCCTTAGTGCTGCATCCCCCGTTAGTTTGTAGTCTTTAAAGTTTTGTGCCCACATATGTGTCCTGAAATCAAACAGATTTAAAAAGTTGTTTAGCGTAAGTCAAATGATTACCGTTTTTTAAAAATAATTTCTGTATATGTATCAGTCACACTTTGATTGGCTTGTTTATAGCTGATAACTATTAACCAATATGTCAGTATAAAATGTGCTTACATAAAAACAAGCAGATGTTCTGTATATTCAATTACTTGACATTTGAGTATTAACATTGGTACTTCCAAATATGGTGAACACTAGCAGTGTATACTCACCACTGACAGCTCGTATCTGGGGAATGATGTCGCTCCACGATGGTTGAGACAGTACAGCACAGCATCGTGGACGGAGGCAAAAAGGCGTCTCTTTGTTATCGTCTCAGAGAAGAAGAAGCCTCGCTCTAACTGTTCCACCACCGAGGCTGAGGAGAAACAAGAGCCATGATGTTATTGAGTCTGTTGTTCCTGTAATGAACTTAAGAAAGTGCGATGGTATTCACTGACCTTGACAACCAGCCAGGTAGATATCCACATCAATCTCACTGAAGTCCAGGAAAATCTGTCAATATAAAAAAGTTTGAAAATGTCACAAAATCTGTTGTAAGACTTCTATTCCAACAAATGTCACTAACCCAAATTAGACCAATCATTTATTTTGCATTGAATCATCAAGGTTAATATAACTTAGAAAGACACACCACCCTCAGTGTCAGTGTTTAAATGACACTAAAAGAAAAAAAACTTCAGTTTCAGTGGCTGGGCAATCTAAAGTTTGTTTTTTTTTTGCTCTAATAGACACATTGAAAACTGCTGAAAATGTACAGAATTATTTATAGGGTGAACTATGTGTGACCGCGTAAGGAAATAATTCACAGCCTGACTTTATCAAGAATTTCACATGCCAGCCCCCCAGTAAAATTTCCACTTAAAGTCAGAGTTAGCTTATGTGAGAACTTGTGTCAGAACTGCTTCATTTTTTTCTGGTTGCCATTACGTTATTCATCACTTATGAATCACTTGATTCATAAAGGCATGTCCCCCCACCTCCATGTACGACAGTGAAACTCTTACTCTGTGAGGTGCGTATGTTAACAGGCAGTCAGGAACATTTCAGGGGCAGCCTGTCCTGAAATTTTATAGACATTTTCAGAAGTGCATGTGTGAAAAGGGCATCTGTCTGTTGGTTTAAAAAATATTGGCCCTATTAGCCCTTACATTTTTTATAGTCTTTATAGCCACTGTGTCGATGAAGTTAGCCGTGGAGAGGTCAATGATGATGGAGTGAATGTCCCAGGTCCACTTCCCCAGTGACCCGAGGGACACCCGCTCCAGGTCCCGGCTCAGCGTGTCATCACTGCTCGAGCCCAGGGTGGTTGTGTCCCCGTCCTGGAGCTCAGACATCCACCCTAAACTGGTGGAGTCTGGATCTCCTCCCTTCAGGTACTCCCATCTACACTGACCGTCTGGTGTTTGAGGACAGGCTGGGATGACAAAAACTGTATTGTTCTCTCTCTCGGTCCAGTCCTGCCCCTCGTCCACGCATGTGTCACCCCAGCGTCCAGCCTCCTCCTCCACAGAGATCACTGGTGCTGCAGAGAGATGCCTAGCTGCCTTTTGTGCTTGTATTTGCTGAGTGGTACAAGAAAGAAATCATTCAGATATCTGTTTAGTACTGGAGCATTTTCAAGTTTGTTTTTTTGGCCTTTGATCATCTAGTTCTGTCCTGTGTGACAGCAGGACTGCACCCATATACTAAACTTAACACACAATAATTTGGAGCACATTTTACCATGTAGGCTAGAGAACTGAGTAACAAACAGGCTTCAGCACTAAAGAGTCATTTTAGTGGTTTATTTCCAGCACACATTACCTCTCTCTTGGCTCTCCTTTTGGCCTGTCTCTCAGCCCTTCTTTCTCTACGTTTCTGTTTGGCCTCCTGCCTCCTCTTGTAAATCATCATTTTACTGATGTCAAGCCCGCTCTGCAATCAGATAAAGAAAAGAGAAATCCCCTTCATCTTTTAAAAAAAAAAGAATAAACCAGCATGACCAAAACATGTAAAAGGAGAGGGGGACATATTTCTGACTTGATGATGAGTAGAGCTGAAACAACTGATTAATTTTATATCATTTTATTAAAAATGCCAAAGATTTCTCCTGAGTTTGATGTGAGGATTTGCCGTTTTTTGTTTCTCACAAATGACAATTAACTGCATATCTGACATTTATATAACACAAGGAAATTAAAGGTACCAATTGAAGATTAATGTAGTTGCTTCAATGACCAAAAAGGGCTCACACACTGTCAATGTGATGCATGTTGCCTTCTCTTTTTTCCTTGAATTTATTGAGCTTTTCTCCCAGATTATCTTCTGAAAGGTTATATTTGTTTGATTAATGAATTTAATTAGAATTTTCCTACACTCCCCACTTTTCACTGAATGGAAGTTAAAGGGAGCTCACATGTCTTTGGCTTAAATCTTTCCTTATTAAGTAAGGCTTAAATATTGAAATAAATAAACATTAAACTTATAATTACAAATAATACTCAATCACAGTAAGTGATATGTGTTATTTGTTCCACTGTAATTACCTTTTGTTTAATTTCTACCATATTCTGGCATTTAATAAAAATTACTTCATTGAAGACATCATTGTTAGATTTATTAATCAATATGATTTCATCTGTAAGTATTAGAAAGAAAGAGAACAAACCTTTCTTTTCAGAGCCTCCAGGTAAAGCTCAGCATTGGCGAAATAAACCGTTGCAGATGAGCGAAATATAGTTACACCAGGAACTTCTTTTGCCTGCCAAAAAAAGCAGAAATCTTTCTTTTTTTTTTGTTTAAGGAAGATTTAAAAGCTTTTATGGCATCTTGTCTTTCAGTTTTACCTCTGTGTGTGTCTCTATATCCACGTACAGCTCTGTGCCTGGAACATTTCCCAGAACAGAATATGTCGGCCTGAAAACACAAAGTGATTACATGTGCAGGATGTTTGTGTGCAGCATTTTGTTCAGTGTGTCAGGTTTCATTTGAAGTGCTACTGAAGTGAGAAGAACACAATGATGAGGAATAGAGGAGACATACATCTGAGTTCTGAAGATAACAGTAAGCAGAGCAAAGATGATGGATGCAGCCAGGCCAAGATCCAGATTGAACAACATTGTTGACACCCAAGTGACCAACCACACCACCTTGGGGATACAAAAAAACATGACTTATTATCAGTGTGGATTCAAGATTCAACACCACAGTCAATGTGGTTAAAGTTTTTTTACAGGCTCAATTTAGAATATTTGACAGTAATCTTCACATCTCTCACCAGATCGATCTTGCTGCTTTTCCACAGCGTAGCGATATCAGAGTACTGCTTGAACATGCCCTTCAGATTTACAAAGACAATCGCTGCAAGGATAGCCTGAAACATGAACAAGTTTATAAATGATTAAGCTGATCACCCAGAAATATGAATGAGGCCAATCAAAATGCATCTCATTCCACAAAATATGTTATGAATTATAAATATCAAGTGCAAGAAACTTTATCGTGAGGAAAAGAAGTAGAGTACAGCACAACCTTTGGCAGTTCCTGGAAAAGGGGGCCGAGTTTCAGTATCGTCACCAACACAACTAGAGTTGATGCCACGCTAGCCATCTACAGCACAAAAATACACAACACAAAATAATGTTTTAATATTTAACTGAAACGTTTGTGTTCAGCTGCTATGATAGCATTAGTATAGTGTTCAGAAGAGCTGCATAAGTCTATAAACAAGAGATTGGTGCTATATGATAGCATATGCTTCAATCGTTCAGTGGTAACCTTAAAGTCATCTCAACAAACAGATTCATTTTGTTTATTGTTTAGTATAAAAATAAATACATCTCTGCTTTCACAGTTATGTTCAGGTAGCTAGGACCAGCAAAACTTTCTCCTGAGTTTGATATGAGGTGGTCACTCTTTGCAAATATCTGTAGTGTTAATTGATTTACTTGATTTAATTTAAGATTTTTTCAGCTTACTGTTAATTGTCTTGTCTGACACTTATCCCGCAGCAGTAGCAACATGCTTTAAAAACAACTTCATAGAAATACTGTCTTCTCTCTGATGGTCTTGTTTGCCTTTGTAGCTCATAAAGGGCATCACTATTCATTTCAGAGTGTTTCAAAACCATTTGAAAACATCTCACAGAGGCTTTAAAAATGTGAGTTTGGTTCAGGAAGGAAACCTTCTATATAGCTGATGTCATTTGTAGAGTATGGGACATGAGATTAAGTTCTCCCATTACTAACTGACTGACTAGCTGACTTGCTGTAGGACAAAAGGTTTTGAAATTGAGTTTAAGGTTGTTACGGTCAATTTGTGTTTTCTTTTTAGAAATAGTTATTTAAACATCATTCCTATTTAACACCACCTCAGACATCCATAACTGGGTTATATTCATCGCATATTGATAGTACAACTATTATGTTTTGCAATTACACTGCCAAAAAAATGTGCTTTCTCACCTGTGTTTTTCCTCCAGTGGTCTCTTGGATGAGACTTCGAGACATAGAGGGGCAGACGGCGTAACACTGGAAGAAGCCACCTACTGTGTTACTGAGACCCAGTGCCACCAGCTCCTGGGTCAGGGTAAAAACAGAGATTCAAGAATTTACATGTTGATACAAGAAAACAGAGCAAAGCAAACCAGAATGTATAAATGACAGAAACAGAAAATGTAATGAGAATATAGGTTACCTGGTTACTGTCCACCTTGTATCCATGCTTCAATGCAAATGTTTTCCCAAGGGAAATAGATATGGCATATCCAACAATGGCCAATGCAAAAGCATCACTGACAACTTCTCCAAAAAGACTCACATCTGGGACACTCGGAGGAAGTAGACTGGTGCAAAGGGAGAGCAGAGGAAGGAATGCGTTTGTACCAGACAAGCTGAGTATATGATTTAACAAATAGTACCAATAAAACAACGTGAATTTAAAATGCTCACCCACTAGGAATTTCTCCAACAACTGAAACAGTGTAGTTGCCGTTCAAGTTGGCATAGGATGATATTAATGTTCCTGCCACAATCTAAAGCCACCACAGGAAACATAAAGATCATATACCCACACAATTCAGACAGGACAGTTTAAACCTAAATCATTAAAAAACTGGTTATTCATGAACTGCATGTGAATTTAATTATTAGCCATAAATATCTCATTTTTGCTGTGGACAGCACATAACCAGAGGCCCCGGAGCTACTGCTGATTCAGCAGCTTGGTTCCTCCGTCTGGGCTTTTTCAGTGCTGCATCATCAGCAACAGCGGCACAGAGCACAGAGGTGATAATATCCAGAGTTTGTGTCTCTGTGTTAACTGACTGTGATGAGCTCCACTGGAACAGGCACTGGCAGCTTTCGACTGAGGAAAGAGTTGAGCTCCTTTGCTGCTATTAGAAACACCATGGACACAGCACTGACCACCAGTGTGGGAAGATGAGTGTGTGGCAGCAAGGAGCAAACATCCTTCAGAGTCTGAAAATAGAGTATAGTAAGGCAGGAGATGATTATGGCTTACACATTAATGCATTAAGCAGACATGTACAGTATAATCTTTAAAAAAATATTATGGATTCAAAGGTTAGTTATGCTTCCCCCTGTCCAGGAAGTCAGTCGTACTTGCAGGAAAATGCAGTGTGGTGCTAGTAAAGCCTTACATGATTTAGAGCACTCTTATTTGCATAAAGACATTAAATCAAAACATTTCATGCATTTTGCTGGAGTAAAGATAGAATTAATACAGATTCAGACACTGTATAAAAGTAATGACAATCATAATGGTCAATGTATCTGAACTGGTTTAGTGTTATTCCTTTAATACTGTTTGCAGCCAATTCTGCACCTCAGCAAACTTCCTGGTTAATGGTTAAATAAAAAACATTAATGTATTAAAGACTTGTGTTGGTGTTGCTTAAAAAAAACAATTAAAAACATGTCAGTACTCACATAGACCAGTGACAAGGGCCCACTAACTCTTGTTGGTGAAATCCCAAAGATGTACTTCAGTTGTGCAACAACAGCATGAGCTGCAGCAGCTGTTGTGTAAGCCCGTACCAAAGGTTCAGACAGGTACGTTCCTACGAATCCAAACTTCACCAAACCCAGCACCACCTATGAAGCAGTCATCAATATATTAGTTTTGCCTGATGTAACAACAAAATTTAAAAAATACTGTAGGATGTTCAGACCTGAATGAATCCTGCTAGGACCGTGGTAGCAGCTGCCACCTGCACCCTGTACGAGTCCCGAGCAGTTATGTCCATCTCTGCAGTAACGTTGGTCCCATTTTGCTTGAGGAAATCCATGTCTGGGGCAAGTCTCTCTGTCACACTACCCACCATGATGCTAAGCACAGTAAATGTACCTAAACTCAAGAGAAGACAACAGCACATGTTATTCCAGAGGATATTATTGCAATTGTCAAAAAAATATTTCTCTCTTTCCTTACCAATGGAGATATGACGTGATGTCCCAAAAAAGATGTAGATAAAAGCTGGATAGAGTGATGTGTAGAGGCCAAAAACAGGAGGTAAGGAAGCTAACAATGCATATGCCATACCTGTTTGGAAAAAAATACACCTGTCTCATTTAATAAATATTTCATGCTATTAAATATTTTCAAGAAGCTTAACCTTTTAAATTAAGCATCACAGTACAAGCAGATGAACTGATCTCCAGAGGGATGGTACATGTAAAACATAGTTATTGTGTAATAGAATATGAAACAATGTTCAAATTAAACTTAATCTTTTTGTAATACACCCTAAAGTCATGAAAGTCATACTACTTATAATCACAATGAGAGCTTCAATTGGAGACATAAAAATAGGATTTTCTTCCAGCAATATTGTCAATATGCACTCAACCGTGATGGACTAATGTCGTACCCTGCGGCAGATGCATTATGCCCACGCTGATGCCAGAGATGAGGTCTGGCATGCCGTAGTCCCAGACCGAGTACTTGGGCAGCCAATACAACACAGGCAAGCTGCTCAGCACAGTGTGTTTCAGTCTGGGTAATGTACATCTGGAAAAGATTTGAAGGTTACTCAAAGTCTTCTTATAATCAAGCTGTTACAAAAGATGACTGTTCAATTTTATACAAGAAGATCCAATCAGACAGGAGAAAACTTTATACTAAACACAGCTTTAAAGAAATCAAGCCACAAAATGTGTTTTACCTTAATAAGCCTTTTAGCTGTTCCGTCAGAGAAGTTTGGTTGTCAGCATATGCTTTTCTCTGCGTTAACTCTTCCAGTCTCTGCTCATCCAGCACTTCCCGCTCCACTTTGTATACTCCAGATTTGCCAGGATAGTCCATTTGGCTAAATGTGTACTACCCTTTTAAATCTCTTTTAATATGCTGTTTAAGATTTATTCCAAAGACTCTCAGCTACCGCAATGTCCACCAGAAGTTGATACTACTTATCACCAGAACAACTGTATCAGCATAAGTATATTGTTTTGCCTACTGTTTAACTAAAGTCAGGATGTTGTGGACAGTGCCTTTTCAGGACAAGAATGGCAGACTGCAAGAAGCACAGAATGTAATTATAGCCTTAAAGAGGAAAAAGATTAACTCTGTTAAATTTCAATGGATTTTTGAGAGGTGTGTTTCCATCCTTCCAATTTTCCAACTCACAAGCAAAACTGAAGCTAATGAAGCATGAAATGGCACTTTAAACTCAAATGACAGCGGCCGAGCCAGTCTTTTTGAGGAACGGTGGTCAACAAAATACCTGAAATATCTCATCTTGAAAACCTTTGAGTTGTCAGTGAATATTTAACATAATGCTACAAAATCAGATGTTATGCTGAAATTAAATATGTTAAGTACAGTAAGTTTACAAAGTAGATTATGGCTGACACAAAAGACACAAGAACGATGATTGATACCAAAGAGATGAGGTCTGTTTTTTTACATGTGGGCATTAAGCATACTGGGCCTTTAAGAGAGCCGTCATGAAATCTGAATCCAAGCAGGGAGCAATGTTTCATTCCAGAGATACATTACATTATGTGACCAAGGCAATCATACAAAAATCACCCAAAATAAAGTTCAGTATGATGTTAATGGGTTGGATAAGGAAATGTACAAATAATTCCACAATATTTGTCAGTGTCTAGGCTAAAAAAACATCCATTCTCCTGATCACTCAAACTCCTCTGACCCACTTGCTGCCTCCACAACACACCATCTATTTTTGGGTTAGTAACTCAGAGGGCTACAGCCGGGGAGGGGGTACATATCTTTGTCTCTTGCTATTGCTCAGACCTTTACTTACCCCCCAGGCAGACACATTCGACGAAATCTACAACACATAAAGCCTGATGCCAAAAAAAAATTGACATTAGCTGGAGTTTTTAGACAAACAACAACAGCAAGAGGAACTGATGACTTTGGTAAGACTGACACAGAAATGGTATCTTTTATAATTTGGAGAGTTGTGTTTCTAAGAGGACACATGTTATATGAATCATGATAGCATTTTCATACCATTTTGTTTTATATAAGGCTAATAATGAAAATGTGTTTATCATAATGGGGTCTGCTTAGTATGTTCATGAGCTCATGAAAAAAATCTTGTAAATTTAAAGATTGTTGAAAATTTTTGAAATACTGAAATGTTCTTTAATGCTTAATTTTTTATTTTTTTTCTGAAAGACTCTATAGTTTATCAAGTAAGACAATAATGACATCTCTTACAGCTGCATGTCCATTGTAGGAACTTGAATAAATAGTGTTATGTTGATAAATTTACATTTGTCCATATTCATTAAGAATTGGACTACTCAATTATGTCATCATATGTATATTTCCAACATGTGTTTTCTTATTAAATTGCTGTTGGATAGAATATTGATTGATGCCCAACATTTGTTTCCCTCTTTTTTGTCTTTGTTTTTCAGAGACAACCTCCTGAGGGTTAAAAACATCCTTTGCAACTCTGTTAACATTTTTCTTACTGAAAAGTTAATCCAAAATGGATCTTACAGCCAAACATGGGCTGGCACTGCTTGACCAGCTGAGGAAAATGAGGGAGACTGAAAATCTGACAGATGTGGTGCTGGTTGCTGAGGGCATCAGCTTCCCTTGTCACCGTGTTGTTTTAGCTGCCTTCAGCCCATACTTTCGCGTCATGTTCACGTGTGGCCTGCGTGAGTGCAACAACAGAGAAATATTCCTGCGTGACACCCCTGCAGAGAGCCTATCCCTTCTCTTGAACTACATGTACTGCTCAGATCTTCCTCTCACTAATGCAAATGTACAAGGCATCTCGATCGCAGCATTTCTCCTTCAGATGGATGAAGTTTTCACTCGCTGTCAGCTGCATATGACAGAGAATATGGATGCCTCCAACTGCCTTGGTGTCTACTACTTTGCCCGTGACCTTGGCGCAGAGGACTTGGCTGACCATGCTCAGCACTTCCTGAAGCAGCATTTTGACAAAGTCTGTCAAAATGAGGAAATCCTGGAGCTGGAGGCCCATCAACTGGGAAGACTCCTGACTTCTGATGACTTAAATGTTTCACAAGAAGAGACTATCCTGGATGTGGTTCTTCGCTGGGCCAAGCACAGTACTCTGAGTGACAGAGAGGTCCGGTTTCTGCATCTTCCAGAGCTTCTGAGGAAGGTCCGTCTGCCACTGATCAACCCTGACTATTTACGAGAGGCGATGAAGAGGAATACGGCCCTGCTGTCTAATGCTGAATGTCTGGAGATTCTCAATGAAGCGTTGGGGGCTGCAGGGATGCATCCCACAGCTGCAGCACGCAAACTAAAGCTGCGGTACGGCATGGAGACCACGGATCTGCTACTCTGTGTAGGCAATGACAGTGATGGGATTAGGTCAAGATATGGAAACTATTCTGAGCGCAGCTTTTGCTACGCTCCGTCCACAGGTCGAACCTACTACATCACTTCACCTCGCTATGCAGAGGCTTTGGGTTATGTGTGTGCTGGGGTTGTAACTGAAAGAAATGACATAATAGTAGCAGGAGAATCAAGTGCACGCAAAATAGCCCGTCAGAAGGACATGAGTGTTGAGATCTACAGGTAAGACAGACATTCGGTAACAATTTTGATTACTCTGTATTTGCATGCTCCACACAGATGGTACTGATGCTGTTATTTTGGATTTCCAGGTACCGAGTGGAGGCCCAAGGAACCTGGGAGTGCCTGACATCAGCAGAGTACCGTGATTCGTACGGTTTGGGATCTCTGGGCGACACGTTGTACCTCTTGGGTGGGCAGATGAAGTTGAAGAACCAGTTTCTCATAACTAACTGTGTGGAGCGATGGTCTCTGCAGGGTGGACCCTGGCGCAGTGCAGCACCCTTGCCTCTGCCTTTGGCCTATCACAGCGTGGTCAGAATGAAAGATCGACTTTATGTGATGGGTGGTCGAACACCACAGGTGAAGTCAAGTAAACTTTAAACATGTCGATGTCTTAACATTTATTGCTGCTCTACTTTGTCATTATCTCATCTTGTTGCATGCCTTCCCTTAAACCATCCAGTCATACCGGATGGATGACGAGCCTGACCGTCTTAGTAATCGCCTCCTGGAGTATGATCCAAATACAAATAAGTGGACAGAGTTATGTCCCATGAAGTACTCAAAGTACCGCTGTAGTGCTGTCGCACTCAATGGGGAAATCTTTGTGATTGGTAAGATTGTAATCAACTTATTTTTATTTGTTTTATCTTGGGACACCTATAGAGGCCCAATATTGATCCTTAAAAGAATAATGCTATTTCGTGATAACTTATCTTTTAGGTGGTATTGGATGTGAGGGAGCGGACTGTGGGCAATCTCGACACTGCCTTGATGCTGTAGAGATCTACAACCCAGATGGAGATTACTGGAAGGATGGTCCTCCACTCCCATGTGCACAACTCTCACTGCACTCCACCGCCTCTAATGCAGGAGTGGTGGGAGGCAAGATTTATGTGTGTGGATACTACAAAGGAGCAGGTAATAACAGAGTCAAAATCCAACAAGTGTTTGAAAGACCTTTAACAAGTACCGTAACTGTATTGTCCTTTCTTAACTTTCCTTAGGTCGTCACGATAATATAACAAAGGACATTTTGGAATTGGATCCACGGGATAACCGGTGGACAGTGGTTGCTCGACGCGCTCTGATGCATGAGAACTATGACGTCTGCTTGGTGGCAAATCTTAACCCAAGAGGACTCATGTCCCCACCTGCAGACTTAGTTACACAGTGATGCCCCTGTCAGATCAGATCAACGTCTGTCAGGGGCAGTAGTGACAGAATTACTTATTAATGCACTTATTGCTGGGCCACAGGCATATACTTTTAGAGCAAATAGATCTCACAGCCTTGCTTAATGATTCGCACATCAATAGTGAGTACAGACAGTTTGTAAATATAGATTTTTTTTCTCGTTTGTTTTTTGTGTATCATCTGCAGAGATTGGTCTTCTGTAACCTGCAACTGTTCGACACTTAACATAATGAGGAAAATAAGTAAATATCTGACATTAAGCAATAGGAAAGAGGTTACTGTAAAATAAAAATAGAAAGAGATGCTGACAGCAATCATTTCCATCATCGATCTGCTGTATATTTTTTTAATATCTGGTTCTGTCAAAGAAATGTTGAAAAAGTTGGAATCACAATTTATTTGGTAAATGGTGCCTTTTCAGAATTGACTAGTCTGCTAAACAGTACACAATATCAAGATATTTAGTTCACTTTCATCAGTGACAAAACAACAAACTGTTGAATTGGAGCAACAATTCAGCTGAAAGCAAAAGCGTGTGGTATTTATGCTTAAAAATGGACTGAAATTATTTGCCAATCAAAAAAATATAGCAGTTCTAGTTAAATAATGGACAATTATTTAATCAACCTTGAAATTAAATATATGATTACAGTAAATTGACTTTGGCAGACTTGCTACTGAATAAAATGTGAATACTTTGTATTTAATGCACTTTTTTTTGTTGCATGCTTGCTTAAGCAAAATAAAAACTTGGGGGGTAATTAATATGCACCTTAGTGATATTATGAACAAGGTTGTTGTGGTTAAAACACTCAACACTCATTATGTACCCTTTAACAGTACGTTAAGTTACCATCTCTACCAGATTTCTAGGGACATTGGTTACATGCATGGGATGAAATTGTAATGGCTGTGTGGGGCGCTGGTGGCCTGTCGGTTGGCTTGCCTGCCCCATGCGCAGAGGCTGTATTCCCCATTCTCTCTGCCTTATTTCCGACTATCCACTGAACTGTCTCTCTAATAAAAGGCATAAAAAGCCCAAAAATAAATATTTAGAAAAACGAAGGATAAAAAGAACTTGTAATGGCAGCCTCCCAGGCTGCAATAACTACATCACAATGACTCTTTACAAAATCAGAACCCATATAGACCAAACAGAAATCATACAATAAATACAACTGGTAAACTAATGATTACAATCTCAGTTTCTTTTTATGTCAAGTCATTAGAAATATTTGTTTCTGTGTAAATATTCTAAAGGCAGCAGAGACACTTCGGCAACACTTGTAATAAAAGGAAATGAAATGAGTAAGAAGTGCTATGTGGGTTTAATTTCCTAGGTTAAGTCATTACACTACAAGTACTTCCACATCAAGTTCAAGATAAAAAATATTGGACAATGTTTTTCTTCCAAAAACTAGATTACAGAATACATCTACAACAAACAGAACTTTGTAAGAGTTAATATGTATAATCATAAACACCTGTGTCTTTTGTTTCCCTATACACCAAAAAAGTGAACACCCATGTTTCACAGTCTTTTTATCAACCTTTAAAATCATAAAGCTGAATCCATGTCAAACAATTGCCAGAAGCCTTCAGGTTTTTCTGGGGTTACTGACCTGGACTCTGCTGAGAGCTTCAGTAAGATTGGTTCGAATCCTGCAGGGCACAGAGAGCTGCTGCTGTCCTGAGACCAGCAGCTGAGCGGGGTGATGACACATCCTGCAGTTTTGGATCTTGTCTCCCTGTTCAGCAGTTCATGACAGCCTGTGTTTAGGCCCACCTGGTTTTTCACTGCGTTCACATCATGACGCTCACCGAGAGGTAAAGAAACATTTTTTTGTTTGTTACAGTTCATTAAAGGCCGACTATTTTCATCCCTGACAGTATGCTTACTCCTCTGTGAAAGCACCAACGGCCTCTTTTTGCACCTCCTCCGGTCTCTCGTAGTCAATTTCCTCTTTCCTACAATGCAGCTGGAATTCTGAGGCAGAACATTATTCTGGTTGTGTTCAAGGTTATTGGATATACATGTCAGCTGTGTGGCTTCAAGCTTGTTGTCCAGCAGGATATTGGACATTTGTTGTTCGGGCCCTGGTGATGTCTGGATGGCACTGTGGACCACTTCTTCGGGTTTGGGTTTGGCTGAATGCTCTGAGACTAAGGTGCTGAGCAGCTTCAGAGCCTCTTCAAGCATATTTCGTTCTCTCTCCTGCTTCTCTCTCAGACACTCCAGACTTTTCCTTAAGCTTTGCAGGTTTGAGCCAAGTTCTGCTGTATTTTCTCCACTCTACGTGAAATGATAAAAACAAACAACAAGACTCAACAAATGCAGAAACATTTACTAGTCACTACAAGATTAAAACAAATGAAACAAATTAATTACCTTTTGTACTTTCTCCTCCAGGTCTGTTGTAATCTCTCTCTGGGAGTTCACTTTATCCAGCAAAGTTTCAAACTGCTGCAAAATGTTACTTTGAAGACTACTAAGACTATTTTGCACTATGAAAAAATAATGAAAGGTAGAAATAAATATATCATTGAAAAAACATTACAATTTCACTCTAAAATTAAATAAATATATAACAGTAAATAACAAACACAACAAACATAAAATACATAGAGCCCTAGAGTAAAACCTTAAAGTAACAGCAGATGTAAATTACCAATGTTTAAACATTGGACAAAGGGCACCATCTACAGGAAATAACAAGTATTACCGGTAACTGCTTCCCCTTTTCCCCCTGAGTGCCCTTCTTTGTCTTTAGTTTCAGCAAAAATACACATCTGTAAATTGGGTAACTTACATGTTGATGCAAAGTTGTCAAATCTTCCAAGGGTGTTTTGGCACACAGCAGTATTTTTCTCTGTGCCAGAAACCAGCTGTTGGATCGAGAAAGAAAAAAAATACATATTTTAATAACTTACATCAATCAATAGATTAGCAGTAAACTGAAAAAGCAACAGAATAAATGCCTTTTACAACTTACGTTGCTTAGGGTTTCTCGAATATGATGAAATTCTTTAGTCAAATGATCACTGTTAAAGCATATAAACGCAAAGTTTCCAGAGGCATATTTTAAATTTTTCAAAATGTAATAATCCAGGGCAAATTGTACGTTTCATGAGACATAAAAAAGTACCTGTCATATTTTTCTTTTGCCTTTTTCTTGTCATCTTCAAATTTCTCAAGTAGTCCAAAAGCTTTGCTTTTGTCCTTTAAGTCTCCAAGCAGGAGAGGTCTGGTGTGGTAACTGCATGAAAACTTTGGGTCACTTCCCTTAGGAATAAGAGAAAAAACTGAGGTTAAGAGATAGATATTTTTTACAGGATTAATCTCAATTTCTGCACTCATGATCCAGTGAGCTACTACCCAGGGTATCCACCCAAAAGAAATGTTTTCCTTGAGTGGATTCGTGGGTAAATACAAGTTTTACAATACTGTAGTACATTGATTGGGTTTATTTTCAAAAAGGTCTCTTACTAAAGATTAGCACTTAAAATAATTGTTTGTTACTTGCTTTAAAAACAGTTTAGAAAATACAGGAGAGTATACATTTCTATTATCACAGAATATGCAATCAATGATGCCAACCAGTCGCTCTAAAAATGGTCTTGTCTTACTAGATCTCTGTGGTATTTGAAAAATAAGCCTTTATAGCTCACCTCTTGTGAACTTTGTTGGGAGGTCCTCGAAGACAAACTCATATCTTGAGATGCGCCTTGAGAGTTCTCAGGCCAAAACTGGGACCCAAAGAACAACTGAGAGTCTGTAAGATTGGAGTATCCGCTCGTAGCCATATTCCTGTGGGTTATGTTGTCCCATCCAGATATGATGATTAAAGAAAACACAAAACAGTATTTGTCCATGCCGTAGAAGAGACTGACAGCCTTTGTACACATCAGTTAAACACAGAGACACACATAAAACAATGCACCATGAAGTGGGTTTAAACTATTAATGAGTTTTTAAGTATGTTGCCCTTAAATATTTCTTAAAATAGAGATAGATAGCTATAAGTAGTACACATTGTTTACTACTGTAGCAGACTTTAGCTAACCTGCTTGCGGGTTGGATGTTGAGCATTTCTTTTATTTTCCTGATATGACTCATTGCGTCTGGTCACCTGTCAGTAAAGATAAAAACATTTTAACAGAAGTTGAAATATTTTATGTCTTTACACCAAATTAGCCGCCGACGTGTGACGGAGTCCATCAACATTAAGTGACTGTCAACAGTTTAACCAAAACATTCTTATCAACATTTTTCGGACACTAGTTATAAGTTTACTACAGTAAAACACTCACAGTTGATTGAATACTTAAAATTCATAAAAATTTTACGACCATAGAGTGTAAATATTACGTTACGACTCACGGTTTCACGGGATCTGATAAAGAGGTAGAGGTACACAGGAAGTGCGCTCGCGACTGTCTGAATTTCCCGCCATTTGACCTGACATGCCGAGGCGTTCAGGTACCGCTGAAAAAGTCAAACAGGTTTAAAGAGGAAGAGGACTAAGCATCGGGACACTGGCAGACATGATAGTGATGAACGTTGCTTGGAGGGCCCCCCAATTGGTTTTTGCTGATGGCCCCTACAGACTCTAAAATCTCCACTGCCGATACGTTTTATACTTTAATCTTTGACCACATAAAGTCATTAACTCAGGTCAAAATTTGTCATTTTAATCAGGTCTCTCCTGTGTTGTTTATTCATTACAGTGTTTATTTCCTTCTTCTAAGCCAAGACTTTATCACCAACATCTCTCTCTGAATGCTGGGATCTGACATTTCAGCTTTACTGTTGCATGTTCCCTCCAAGAATCATCAGCTTAACATGGTGGAGGGGTTCAAGTGTCCCCGTGAGCCCCTGTGAGTTGCTGTTCCCCTCGAATAAATATTTTTCAAAAGGTTAAAGTCAGCAATAACTGACGTGTAATTTTCATCAGGTCGTTTACCTAAAATAATTAACCCTACTCGAGAGCTCCTTGGATCTCTGAATCAAACTCTTTCCTTTTAGGACATTTCGTTTCTCCTGTCCGACCTAATGTGTTTTTCATGAAAAAATGAATGCATTAAAAATGTCGAACATTTTCATGAAAAAAAATTGAAAATATTCATAAAATAGGTTTAAAAAATGTTGAAAATGTTCATAAAAAATGTCGGCTTCAAAGATGTCGACATTTTTCATGAAAAAATGTTGACTTCAAAAATGTCAAACATTTACATCAATACATATAGACTTCAAAAATATGGAAAATTTTCATGGAAAAAGTATAACTGCAAAAATTTTGAAAACCAGAGTTAGTCAATGAAAGTCAAGACAAAATGAAAAATCCTGCAGCTCGTCTAGTGTCCGCTTGAGGCTGGCTCCAGGAAACCCTGGGGGGAAAAAATGCCAAAAAGCCAGTTTTACTGCATAAATCGTTTACAGCCTGGTACAAAAAACGAAACAGGTCTGATAGTTATTGTCCTCACACACTGTACAGGGGTTGAATTTTAAACAGCTCCGTATTATCAATGGTTAGGTGCGTAGCTGACCTGATTGTCAGGTGTAACTATTTGTCAAGAGGCTTAAAACCAGCCTCAGCTCCAGCTCTCAGCTTTTCATTAGGTTGACAGAAAGTTAGGGTGAGACAGCATTTCCAGCATGGCGGCTGCTGCCGATGAGCTTCTGGAGCCACCTGCCGTAACAGATGGATGACGTCACTCAGGCTTCATCCATTAATATTTACAGTAAATGGCCGGGACACTGGCAGACATGATGATGATGAACGCTGGTTGGAGGGCCCCCAAATTGATTTTTGCCTCGCACCCCAGACTCTAGAATCGTCACTGGTTATGCCGTTATATGATATGCTGTTCATGATGTGATGGATTGGAGTAATTTGGACCAAACAGTAGCCTAGTATTTCTTATTTAGAATTATTTTGTTGAAGGAACTTCTGTGCCATCCAACAGTTCATGTCATTGAGACAGTCTCTGACAGCAGCTAGGCTGGGTCCCAAAGTCTTATAGAAAGGTGTATGTATGTTGTCTGCATAGCAATAACAGGAGGCATTACAGTGGTGGATGATTTAGCCAAGAGGCAGCATGTAAACTGAAAAAAGATTGGATCTTAAACCGAACCTTGTGGTACACCCAAGGTAACATTAGAGGTGAAGTAGTTACCTTTGGTGACTGCAAAGGTTCATTCTATAAGATAAGAATCAAACCAGTTAACCGAGTGAACTTGATCCCGACCCAATTTTTTAGAAGAGCAATTAAAATAACACGATCAACTGTAACAAAAGCTTAACTACAAGCTAAAAGAACTAAAATTGCATCATCATCCCATCTGCAGCTAAAAGTAACTCATAGATACCTCGAGAGGCCTGTCTCCGTGCTTTGACATGCTCTAGATTCAAATTTGAATTTCTCAAAGAGATGACAATATACAAATACAGAGTGAGTAGCATGGTTTCTAATTTAACAGATTTTTGCTAATAAATGTGTGGTTGGCTAATAGGCCTTAAAATGTGTGTGTATCATACTGACTGTATAACATGATTGACTGTTTAAAATTAATGAACAGTCAGCTGTGTGTATTGGCTTTATAATGTGATTAATTGAAAAGCTGGACATTTGTACCGACAAAGCAAAATATCATTTAACAAGCCCTTTAATTCGTTTTTTTTGTTGCTGTTTCTTGTAAAGGGCTTTATGTTAAACTACGATAATATCTATTATATTTCACTAAACATTTGTATGCAATTTTTCATTGTATAGGTGAATTGTAATAAAGAAGCCGGCTAGTGGGTGGCTGGGGTGGGACATTTACATAGCATGACACAAATTGAAATAAAGAAATTATTCAGTATATTATCAAACAAATTAAAATGTATATGAAATTTCTTAACTTAAGTTCAGTTGATGATAGTGTATATTTATTTAAATGAACATGCAGTTGCATCACTTCAGAAGCAAATCTATGTAGGCTATATAATTCTTTATTACTGCAATTTTTGAATGAGCTTAAGTGAATAAGACTATCATTACACAGTTTACTTTGATCAGTTTTAAAAAAAAAATGTAAATAGTTTTACAGAGCAATTTTGTAATAATTGTAATATTTTGTAACTATGTGTTGTGTTGTACTACAACATTTTGTTTTTTTTACTTTGTTCGTAACATAGGCCTATGTACATTCATTGACAATAATCAAAATTTTACAGTATCAGTAAAACATTTGACAAACAGCAATCACACCTGCTACAAAGAAGAGATAAGAGATTTGATAAATTATCTCATTACGTTGATAGAACAAAATACAAAGGGGGAAAAAAAGTAAACAAGTAAACTGATTAAGAGTCGGAAAAGGGATAGACTAAGTTATAATCATAAGTGAAGAGAGTTTTTTTTACATTTGTATAGTAGCAAAAATATCTTTGTTATGATGATATATACGATATCATCCGATATGATATATATACAATGTGTTTGTCTTTAAAACGACTCCGAACCAGATATTTAACACGTAATGTAGCACATACACAGTGAGGAATTTATTTTGAAAGTCGTGGCCGGAAGTGTAAATGCTCAGTCAAAGCACGGAGCAATGAGCTACGCACTGTGGTGCTGAGTATCTGTTGCTGAACTGCAGCTGTGTTGGTGAAAAACCTGTCAACATTATAAATGATTGTGTTGTGATACCTCTGCGACGGACGAGATCTGACGGTAACACCACCACACCTGGGAGTTTGGTCAGGCCAAAGCCTGGTGTTTGGCTGGTGAGTTAACTTTTTCTTTTACAATGAATGTGCAGCTGCTAACCGTGTAAAGGATAAACTCTAATGTTTAACATATTTAAATGCATCTACATATTTACCTCTCTAACGCGAGCCTGGTTATTTTAGTCCAGACTGCTATCACAGTCAAGACACAACTTCATCCTAGTGACAGGTGCTGCTAGCTAGCTCAACACCTTGTCTGTTTCCTGTCACACTCAGCTGACGTTTAGCCATTTTTAAGACTTTTTCCGCTTGATAATTTAAGCTTAAAATAATTATTTGTATCGGAAGTTGTAAGTGAACGAATAAAAACAGGAGAGTGTGGGGTTTGTATGAAAGCCCTCATTTGAAAGACTTCCCCCTCATGAATATTGAAGCTCTGTTTCTGTGGGTGACTCATCTGTATGGATTGGATACGACACTTACAAATGACAAACATGCACTACAACTTTGTGTAGGCCTAACCCTGTTTAAACTGACCTCAGCCAGAAGGGCATTTAACCTTCAAATGTATTGAGATGTCAACCAAGTTAAGACACTAACAGTGTGTGTGTTTATATGAGACAAGTTTAATAATTCACCTCAAAATGTCTTTGTTGTGGCCCTTTTTTTTTTTTAAACTTGTAAAGGTGCTTTTTTTAAACAACTGACATAGTATCATTCTTGCTTGTTCAGCCAAAAAGTTTAGTTAAGTAGTTTTGCAACAAAGTAATTTTTTTTTATCTTTTGTGAAACCACCTGTCCAAAACCCAAAGACTCTTATCATAAATATATATCATATCATATATCATAAATTAAGAAATTTCATAAATGACAAGAAAACGCAGGATGCCCTTACATTTAAGGAGCTTGAACAAGTAATGGTTGAGATTTGTACTTGAAATAAAACTTAACCTATGTTTTTGCAAATGATCGTCTTTCTTTCACTCGTATAGAAATCCACTTATTGTTCCACTTCCAACTCTGTTAACAATAAAATAAATTAGCCATATTTGTACTTTCCATGAATCTTTTATGCCGTTTGTGTGGAAAACTATACAACTGTTTCATTATATAAAGAGGCCAAACAAATGTAACACATTGAAATGCATCAATAAGATACAGTCTTAAACTGGAAATCCTTTTTTTTATATATCACTTTATTATGTATGTAAAATCATTTCAAAGACTAAAAATGTTAACAGGCATATGATACCAAGTTTTTGTGAACTTTGTACCTGGTCAAAGAGTTTATTTTTAATCATCCTTGGTTCCTGTAATACATGGGATAAGGTATGTGTGCTAAAATTGTGCGTTGTCAAAGTTTCTTTTTGTGCTTTTAAAGGGTTTGAATATGGCTCTGTCATTCCTGTTGGTCTTGGCTGCAACTGTGATCCTCATCAGACCCGAGACTCCTGTGACTAAGGTAGAAACCAGGTGATACTCAACCTATGAGAGCTTTGTTTTGGGTTGCACTGATTTGTAAATCTGTCACTGCTGTTCTGTCTGTAGGCCCTACATCAGAACTCCCTAGAGTGCTGCGGAGAAAAACAGAGAGGGAACAATTCATGTTCAAATGACACTCACTGTGAACCAGGTACAGTGAAAGAGTTATGACATTTTGACATCATGATACTTGTATCTGTTATCAATACAATATTTGCCTGAATTTTTGTTTAATTAAGTTTAAAGAGCCCATATTCTGCCTTTTTGGGGTTCGTTATTTAATCTATGTTCTACTTTGTACGTTCACAATAGCTAAAGTCCAAAAAAAGTGTCTGTTTTCATGTACTGCTCCTCCTTGCTCCCTCTACGCTCTGAGTCCGTCAGCTACGCTCTGCTGAGCCCACACTGTTAGACCCCACGTGGGCCAAGTCTGCTCTGATTGGTCTGCTGATCCGCTCTGTCGTTATTGGTCAGTTGCTCAGCATGCGTCTCGGAAATTTCAACATGAGCTGCAGGGCTTGCCACAACGAGCCAATGGGCTTAGATCAGTGATCTCACACTGACAATGACGTCGGACTGACAAATTTTTATCGAGGGGGCTAGAACCGAGCGTTACATGCAGCTAATGCTACAGCTAACAGGAGGAGGAGGAGAAGCCGCGTTTCCGCGGACTTTTTTTGCACATAGATGTGCCTAAACATGCACAGGACACTTGGAAAACACACTAAAGAGCATATAAAACCAGAAAAAGCATAATATGGGACCTTTGAAATAGATTAGCAACAGAATATATCTGTTTCAGGGGATAACTGCAACTCAAGACAGCATTGATAAAGATAAATGTAGCAAATGTATATAAAAAAAAAAAAGGAAATTACTTTTTTAGTGTTAACTACCTGTACTTAACTTATTTCTTGTGACAAGGCCATTAGGCAATGACATTGATTTCTCAGAACAAGGGTATTAAAAGTAAAAAAAATGGCTTGTCAAATATATTCCGTTTTTTTTTTTCAGGATGCTTCTTGCGTGTCCTTGAGAACAGCAACACTGTTTGCATATTTTGTGACTCTGCTGCTGTGGATTTGGAAAACATAACAGTCTGCACCTACAGTAAGATCTCTGCTCTGTCTAACTGTGGATTACATTTCCAATGCTAAACAGGTTTTTCTGTTTCTTAATTTGCCCCTTTTTTTGCCCTCACTAGACTACACAGTGGAGAGGAAGAATCACACAACTGTGACTACTGTCATTCCCAAGATTGGTAAGGTATCACGTTGTTGGGATCTGATGGGGCAAATAGAATGCCAAATACAATACAATTAATTACAATACAATAGAATTAGAATACAATATATACTATAATAAAATACAATTAATAGAAATAATAATCAGGATTATTTATGTCTTAAAGAAACGTTGATCACAAGTCATGAGATACAGGGTGACATCCTGGTGTCAAGGACTGAAAACCACAAAAGGAACCAAAGTTACCACAATGCATAGGCACAAACAGTCAGACATTTTACATATCAGAATCATAACAGCAGCAGCACCTATAACAGGTAATGATAGTTGAGGAAACGGTGTCAAAAACCTGAATTACAAGCAGCTATCTAAACACAAGGAGTGGCCAGTGAGGTTGAGTTTCTAAGTAAATAAATAAATGAATGAATGTTGTAAAAACTTACAATGATTAATATGAAATGTATGTAGAGGAAATGCGAGTAGTGTACCTTTTTGTAGTGATAATCAGATGTGTTGTGGTGGATTACATTTCTGGTGCAGCTGGTTAGACCTCCTGTTTTGTCTTTGATCAGGAGGGCCGGGTGTGGCAGCCTCTCTTCTTCTGGGAACACTGCTGATCAGCCTGTTCCTGATCCTCTCCGTCGCTTCCTTTTTCTACCTCAAACGCTCCAACCGACTCCCGAGCATCTTTTACCGCCGCAACAAGGGTACAAACTCCACAGTGCTTGACACTCTGTTATTAATCAAACAGGGTTATGAAGTTCAACTGTTCCTGTTGAGCCACCACACCCGTTTAATCCCTTAATAAAACATGGACTTGTTTTAGAACATGGACACAAGGATGCTGCCATGCAGTGTTTCTTATTCTGTTTACCTTATTTTAATTGTTTTGTTCTTTTTCAGCCTTCATATTCCAACCAAGTGAAACGGTAGGTTCATTTTCGTATCTTATTACATACCAGAACATTCAGAGCCTTGAACTAGCAGTGTTCTCTGGTCGTACGAAGACATGATTTATGTCTCTCAGGGATGGTTTTAATTTGTTTTTTTCTTCCCTTCTAGGCTGTCATGATCCCGTCCTCGGCAGGTAAGATTACTTCACTGTCTGTGACTGTTAACTACCTCTTTTGAAACTGTAACTGTCCGAGCTTGTTCAACAGGTTGTGTGAAGCTATTGAGCAATGAAAAACTGTCAAAACTAGGAGTACCTGGCAAAAAGAGTTTTACTTTTTTACAGTCTTTTGATAAGCGTGATAGAAGTCTGCTGAAAGATGGCATCAACGACTCCTGTGCTCGTCTCCTCTTGCCCCCCCCCACACACACACACACACACACACACACACACGTCTGATTACATGTTCTGCTCTGTTTTGTGTTTCCTTTGAAGTGAGGAAGCCGAGATATGTCCGAAGGGAGCGGCCCTCTGCAGCATCCACGCTGAACAGTGGCACCGTGCCCACAGCATCCAGCACTCAAGACTACACCGTGTAGGAGGAGGGACGGGAGTGCTGGTGCAGTTAGGCAAGAACGCTCAGGAATGAAGTTAGACTTTCTGATCATCAGAAGGGATCCACAGAAAGACCAGCTGACTCGTGCACAGGTGACCAAATGTAACTGTAGCTGCTTCACATCACTAGGACTGCTACCTTTACTGTATGAGGTATGATTCTGAAAAGATGAGGGTCACCCAATTCTTTTATTTTTGAATTAGTTTTTCACACAAAAAAAAACAGTTTCAGTGTTTTTCTGTGAATTTGTTTTTTCCACTCATGGTGCTCTCTTTGTTTTGAAGTTTAAATATTATTATTATATAGTTTGTATCTGTTGTTTGATGGTCTCTGTTTAATCTAAATGGGTTTAATCAATAAAGATACAGACCTCTCTTTTAAAGGAATAGTTTAAAATACTCTTAACTCCCTCCCCGTTAATAAATATAAAAAACACCTTTACCGAGGGATTGAACATGTCTGATCTCTTTTAATCAGGACAAAAGAGGAAACTGAGTGGAGAATCTACAACTCCTCATCTTCTGGGTTGTACTTTTTCCACTCTTTTTCTACAAATTAAAAGACAGACCCTGCTAGCTGTTTTTCTTTTTTCTCTGTCTTCCTCCTAAAACAGGTGAATTGTTGTTTGCTGCAGTCGTACTTTGAACAGATTTCAGAATGTTAGCGACTGTACATCCAAGTCTCTTCAAGAAAACACACAAAAGAGTATTTCCTAAAGTGCCAAACTCTTCCTTTAAAAGCAAAGTTGAATCAAGACAGTGACCACGTTGGGTTATTTTGGGACAAAGTGCCAGCCCAGTGACATTTTATGGAAGTTTTTATAAGTTTGCTAATTAGAATGTGGTTTTTTTTTGTGTGTGTGATATTTATTTGCATTTTGTAACTGTGCACTGACTTTTACTGATAACGATAAGACCAACTGAATACATCTTTTGGTGGACCGGGACATTTTAAAAAGAGTTATTGCAGGGTTTTTATGGTCGATTGATCCTTTATGTTGATTTTCATTTTTTGTATTTATTATTTTTGTGAGCTTAACCAAGGAGAATGTTCACATACAAATAATCTAACACTAATGTGAGGAATCAGCATTTTGAAACAGACCCACTCAAACACAATAGAAGTTGTTTCAACAAAAAGCTAAGCTTTTTTGCAAATGAAACTCTTTCAGAATCCTGTTATTAGTTATGTGAAAACAGGAAAATTGCTGAACCCTCTTGCACTTTATTACTCTGAAGTCATCAGCCAATATCAGGCCCTTATTTTCAAAGAATGACTTAAATGAACATGTGCCATCCGGGATGAGTGAGATTTTCTTTTTGTTTCTTTGGCAGCATTATTGTTGCATTATTAAAATTACTTGACTGCTATCTAATTTTGCCAAATGTTGTCTGAAGAAAAATGCTTTGACTGTGTGCTATAACTGTGATTACTGTGCCAAAATCAGCTTTAAAAGCAGACAGGATTTATTTGGTGTTGAGGTGGTGAATGATTGGGTATTTGAATTATATCCAGTGGCCTTTACTGTATACAATCCTTCAACCAGGACAGTTATCCAACTTTTATTAGCTACATTGAATTTTCTATCTTGACAACACAAAGTCATAAATATCTTTAGTATCTATGAAGCCACGTGAAGTGAACCAGGCCAAAGGCAGCAACCATTCCATAAATATTCCCCTTTTTGCTTCTTGTGTTTGCTTTTGTACGGACGAACCATAAGCTGAATACATGTACATATTGTTTTATACGATGGTGTATCGTTTTCGTATTGATGTATATATTCTGGTTTCAATGCCATGAAGACTACTCTGAAGACCTGTGTAATAATGAAGAAATAAAGCACCTTTCCACAACCAAAGTTTACCATTGTGCTGTTATAGATACACACACACACACACACACACACATTGTCTTATATTTCATGTTATTTAATGCAAAAAGTGGGACATTTTTAAATGTTTCATTTTTTATATTTGCTGCTCATAATAAACAATGCTTCACTGTGTGTTGGACGACAGCTAATTTTTTTTAAATAACTCACACGTTGGTCTGTCATCTTGTGATATCACAAACAAAACTTTTTGTAGTATTTCATCTTTCTATAAAAAAAACAAACGTAACTTTTCTGATTTACAAATATCACTATGATTATTGATCCAAAGTGTATTTTATACTCGTAATATACATTACATATAACCATACTGTATGGTTTTGTCAGAAAATTTAAACAGGGTTAACTTATTTCAAATCTTTTTTACAATTAAAATAAAACAAATGAATATATTTCATATCTGTTCAGTTTTGCCATAATACAATACCTGTACGAAATAGCCATTATGGTTGTAAATGATTTCCTTCAGTGTAAATATTGGAATTTGTTTTTGATCTCGCCTCTAATTAAAGTAAGAGTGCTGGTATTTAAAGGTACTGAAATGTCATACCTCTTGTGAAGGAGGGACGGACGTTTACACTGGGAGCTGTTACATGTGACTGGACATACTACTCTATTTATAACAGCTGAGAGCAAGGCCCCAGTCCCACACAGGCAAGGGCAGACGGACATCAGAGCTGAAATGTTCCTGCGGGCAGAAAGTACTGACACCTTCAAACTGGACACTTCGTCCTTCTGCAACAGGTAGGTCCCCCATCTACTAACCAAACATGTTAATATGAATACTCCTAAAATTTGTGCTGGTTTGTATTGGTTGAGTTAAATACGAGATGGTAGCAAAGTCCTTTAGTGACTTTGACACGGAGAAAACAATGTCCATGAAGGTGAAAATGAAAGTGATCGTTGGTAACTACATATTTTCACCTTTAGCTCGAAACAGCACAACAGAAGTGTTGCAAAATGCAATAGTAAGTCAACCTTTTAGGAACCTTTTGAGTTTGTGTAAAGTAAGATTCTGTGTTAATGTTTATGTTACAATACTTTCATCATGTATACACACTGACAATGCTTTTGAGGCTGATTCTGTATGTTGTACCCTGAGATTATCAGCAGAACTTTTCACATCAGGTCATATGACCCAAGAGTATTTTAGGTTCTGTTATGGAGCTTTTGACCGTGTGGTGTTATGGTGTTGCTTTGCTGCTCTCAGATCTTCACCTCTCATTCCTTGAACTAATACAGGAGCTTGTATGCTTTCGGAGCAATGTGTCCTAATCAGAGCTGATGTCTTATGTTGAGCTAAAGATAAATACCCGCTCTATATTTAACTCAAATGTGTTGCAACATTAACTATAACCTAGCAGAGATACCAAGGATGAACTGATAAACACTGCCCCAAGACCACTTCCATTATTAGTTTTTTAGGCAAAACAACTCAATCTGCTACCATACAACATTAATCTTTGTGTTTTGTCTTTTTTTTTATAGACTGGAGAGCATGTGAGGCATCAAAATGGATGATTTAGATCACAGCATGCACATTGCAGACTATGACTGGACAAGCTTTTTCGATGACAGTGAGGAATGTGGTCTGCTGCAGCCTTCGCTCGCCTGCCTCGATCACTCCAGCTTCAGTGATTCAGAGGATTCAGGAAAATCAAGTCCAGTATTTATCACAGGCCAACATGGGCTGCAGCAGAGCCGTGATGCAAACAGTGATGAAACTCAGAGCAATGCTGAACCCTGTAGCATGGAGAATAATCTGAGTTGGTTAGGTGGAGAAAAAGGTGAGCCTAACACAAAAGCCAAAGAAGACACTGACACACAGGTAAACTGTAAAATAGGTCTTGATCATGCTGAGGAAAATGCCACAAACACAGAGGAGGTGAATGTGAGGGCTGCAGAGCATGTCAGAGTGGAGACAAAGGATGTCACAGACACACTTCAAACTAAGCAAATAGATGTTCAGTCTTCAGATGCAGAAGAAGCAGAGGAGGACAATGGAGACTTGCAAACAGAGAGTGACACTTGTAAACTCAAACCCATTCAAGAACCTGACCCACTTTCTTACAACCAAACAGAACTTAATGTGAATGAGCATCACAGTACAAACAGAGCTGAGAGTGTGGATGTGAGCGGTGTCGCTTTAAGAGCTGAAAGAGAGCGCTGGTTCGTGACAGTGAATGACAGTCCAGCAAGACAGCGGGTGTGCGCCCCCTCCGGGAAAAAAAAACGAAGACAAAAAAAAACTAGGAGGCACAGTCACATGTACAGAACAAGCAAGCAGGAGACGTCCTTTGAAAATGGATTCAAGTTAGAGATTAACACAGATAATATTGAGTCTGACATATCTGAGGTGTGTCAAAATGCTGAAGACAATCCTCAAAGCCATCTGGTGGGAGTCACTTCAGATTTATCGCAAATGTCTTCAACATCCGGTGAAGAAGACAATTTGTTGGAGAAACTTTCAATGTGTCCTTACCCCAAAGACATTTTCACATTGCATGACACATTTACAACCAAGGGCCCTTCACAGTTTGACATAATGGAGTCTGATGATGGTGCTGAGTTCCTTTCCACTCACAGTTATGATTCTGAAAGCTATCTCTCAGCTGCGGAATCAATAGATGAACCTCAGCATTGTCTTACTGAAAACCAACCTCTAGTATGTGCCGTCTCTCTAGCAAAAACCACCTGTCTAAATGACCTGCCTGAAAACACTGACGCTGATGACACACAAGTCATAGAATTGCTTTCACGTGACAACACTCTGTTCTGCAATGCAACGGCACCTGTCTCTGAAGGTCATGAAAGTACCAGTGTTGAGCCGTGCCAGACATTTCCATCTGTGGGCCAAAGAGTTAACAAAATGCCAGATGACGACTCTACATGTGTTAACGACGCTCACAGCGTGGTACCCTGCATGTCCTCAGATTCACCTGGACTCCAAAAACATGAAATTAATCTTCCAGCGTCTGTTTGCTCTTCAGGGGATCAGCTCAGCTCTCTCACTGTTCCTGATTTAACTGTACAGCCATGCTTAGTGGTCGACAGCCCGGAAACATATGCTGAAGCTGTGGGAAACACTCGACCTGTGTACGCCATTTCTGCTTTTTGGGATGAAATGGAAAAGTTGACGATAAATGACATTTTGCAGTTAAGGATGGGTAGAAGCCCACCTCCCAGGAAGACGCATGAAACGGTCACACCAGATGTTGGTGATTTCCCCAAAAATCCCAGCTCTTCAGATGAAACGATGGAGTATAGTTTGTCTAATTTTGGTTCAATGGATGCATCTGACACTGCTGATTCGGACTACTCCACACAGGCCGATGAATCAAAGCCTGATCGCTCAAGCTGTGAGTTCTCCACCTCCGATTTTGAGGAGGAGTACTGGCAATTTCTTGGTGCCAGTAGGAACCCAAGTCCTGATCCTCAAAGCAAAAACCAACAAGGGACTAGTGAGTCTCCTTTCTTTGAGGAAGAGGAGTCCTCATGCTCTGAAGGAAAAGAGACACCTGTGCCTTCAGAGGACTTTGCAGGGTATCTTTTTGAGGATCAGGACTCCACTGCCTTCTATTCAAGAGAACTTGTAGGGCCAAGGCAGATAACAAAAAGCAGGAGTGTGCGTAATGTTTCAGCTCTCAACACCGAGAATGTATCCATGCAGTTTTTACTTGGAAATGATGACAGCAGTCTGTTTCTCTGCAGCTGTCCATCTCTAGAAGCAAGTGGCAGCCTCAGAACACTAAAACCCACACCTTTTCTGTCCAGCACACATGTACTCGACAAACCCTGTCAATTCTCCACCCCTGAAGTGTTTGAAAACCTTCTCAAAGATCAAAGTAGGAGGGACAGCTGTGTCACTTTCTATGATTCAGAGAATATCTCATTGGCTCCTGTCTTTGACGACACTTTTTGTACATTCAGTGATAAAATGTCCCTCTCCTCCCTCCATGATTTCAAGTGCGGCGACGAGAAACCAATACCCATTTTCTCTTGTTCTCATCCTACCGTACGAGAACTCACATTCCCAAATCAAGACTATGTTTTCTTGAGCTCAGACATATCTCCATTCAGGGTTTTGTCTCGCTCTTTCATTCAGGGCAGTATGCTTGGGATATCCGCAGCAACCCTACGTGACTTCTCCAGTTTGCTGTTGACGAGGAAGATTTTCTTCCAAAATAATTGCAGTATCTGGTGTGGAAGCTCTGGTGCCTGGGTGTTTCCAGTTGAGGCTGGGAACAATACCACCAAGGGAGAAGATCCACCACTGACTGTGTTTACAGAGGGGAGTGTCTCAACAAATCCCTCTAAGTTGATCGGAGAGCTAGCAGTACAGCAAACAATTTTAGAAACAATTCAGACAAAAAGTAAGTCTTATGTCAGCATAAATGGAGTGGATAAAAGAAAATACATCAAATGAAAATCTACTAAAATCAACTTTTTGTGGGTCTCTTACAGGACGAGAGGGTATCTCAGCACTGAAGCAGTCAGATATGTGTTTGGTGTGCATTGCGTTTGCCTCGTGGGTATTAAGATCATCTGATCCAGAGGCTGCTGATACTTGGAAAGCAGGTATGACACTCCTTTCATTGATGTTACAGTCTTCAATCTTCATTTCTCAACTACAACGTCATGTCTCAAATGGCAGTTAGGGCAACTGAAAGCATCTCAATTCAATAAACTTATTCTTATTTTCATTGGGATACTACTGTGGGAACCCAACATAGAACATTTTAGGTTGATTTACACGTTTCTTTTTGTGAATTTTTCATACAAGCTGTTAGGAAAAGGGGATGTCAGGTATATTGTGCCATAAACAGAGTTTAGCAACCACTGATTTCAATTGTATCTCAGGTGTGGAATTTTTTGAGCCCAGTTTCTTAGTCCATAAGAAATAATCTAACTTGTTACTTGTTACTTTCATCATTCTCTTGCAAAGTTTTCCAGGACCTTGAGAATTGAACATGGTTTGCACTGTATACCTTCATGAATTAATATCTAAAAACTATACTTTATTGAATTTCTCTCCAGCTCTTCTAGCAAACGTGAGTGCACTATCGGCTATCCAATACCTGCGACACTATGTGAAGAGGAATCCTTCTCAAGATGATCCCTGATATGTGCACACACAAGATGTCATTTCCAAACCTTCTTCACTTGGGTCCATCCATAAAAAACAATATTTACTGTACATTTATTTACCTACCACAGGTGTCCTCTGGCAAAGTATATGCATTGGTTTCCAAGTAACAATACAGCATGTAAAAGTAGAAGAAAGCAAACTGATGTTTAAAGCTTTCAAGTAAGAGCCATTTCAGGAGTCTGGTGATATTTTGTGTTTGTTTGTTCAACAAATTCCTTGAAAGGTAATCTATGCTTTACATTTTATATGTGCTCTGGCAGTTGCATGTGGTTCCACTCTGAGTCAAACAGATTTCATGCAGCCTGGTTTTGGTTTCAATTTCAACCTTTTATTTAACAAGGTCCAAGTTGTAGAGTAGTTCAATCATGTTTGTAAACATCCCAGATGACTACCACTGATATTGAATTTATAGTAGTTCATTTTTCATATAGATGCCATGAAAAAGTGTCCATAATAAATCAAACAATGAAAAATATTGTGTTATGCTGTACTATGACTACCGACTACATCTTTTTGAATTAATAAGTTGGTGCGTCCAGAAGTAATTTGGTCTGCTCACACTGATGTAGCCTTTGGAAACCAAAATGAAAAAACTGCAGTGGGAAGTTGTAGGTTTTCATATACAGACAAACAATACATTAATATTAGAATGCGTTCAATGTGTGTTGGAAGATAGCAGTCTCTACGGAGCGTGGTTTGTTTCTATATATATGCATTTTTATTATTATAACTATGTGTGGACAAAGACCATCCAATGTTACATGATGCAATTTGTTAATTGGAAAGTTACTGTTGGGACATTGGGTTGGTTTGGTATTTTGATGTAGTTTCTTGATCATAAGACAAATAGCATATCATCAGCCTCATTCTTTAACAAGATATCATTTCAGCTGCATTTTAAACTTTTAATCATTTTTCAGTTCTGGGTTAACTAATGTTGATATAAGGACCATTCTGTTAGTACAGAAGCTTTTACTTGTCAATCACAAATGTAAGCGTATATTGTGCCAAACATGTCGCTTTAAATGCATTTAGCGGCAATCAAACTAAGCTATGATGGCAGCCTGTTAAGTGTTTGAACAGATTCCAGGAGAAGTTGGGGTTTCTTTGTAAGAGAAAAAAGGGAATTATGAACAGAAGATGTAGATAATGTGCTTGGTTATGTATGTTGTAAGCGAGGATTAAGTATGTGACTTGAGCTGAATTTTTAAGAATAATGTAATATTCTCTTTTCAAATGTTTTTCCATTGTCACCCATGTAAAAAGACAGAACCATTAACTGCTCATCACAGGGTGCATGTTGTGGGAAGTTTAATGTGATTTTCCAATTTTAGACCATTTGGGCCTTGAAGTTTGAAAATATTGTATTAAGTACTGTCGTGGGGAAAAAGCAAAGAATTCAGATGTTCAAAAAAAGAATGTAAGCGTGTAGAAGATTCCTGGTTTTTCCTGCTTTGTTCTTTCCTGTTGTGTATGTAAAAACAATCAGTTACATTATTGGAACAAAATGTAAGATTTAAACATAGCTAATTGATAAATGTGCCAATTTCTGTTGAGTGTTGCTCCATTTTATGCTTTTTATTTCTAACACCAAGTATTGTGTTGTTGCCAACTTCATGGCTAAATGTGTTAAGAACTACAGGAAAGAATATTGATATTAAAAGCTTTAATGGTTCTTGTCAAACAAGACTGTGTAATTAGGATTTTGATTTTTGTGTAGAAAATAATATAATGTGATGAAGCCATTAATATACCTTGTTCTGCTCGGAGTAGATTATTGCAGAAAACAAAAGCACGACAACGAACATCACAGATTTTTACTCAAAGTATCTTGACACAGTTGAAATCTTCTTATGTACTATAGTAGCAGTCTATGACAGGAGCCCTACAATAAATCTGACCTTTAAAAAGGTTCAAATGTTCCTTTAAACGCCAATGTTATACCTCAAAGGAAAGGCTCACTAACAGAAACCTCTTGGCTGAATACATTTACTAAGCTCCAATCTAACTGTGTGAAAGACAGATTTATTGTAAAGCTCACTTTTTCGACTGCATTAGTTTGAGCAAGATGTACGTAACAAGCTGGCAGCTGAGTGTAGATACCACAGACTGTGTCTCTTTCATTCATAGGAACTCCAGGTGCAAAGAGAATAAGGTGTCATTGCAGAAATATTTATTGAAATAAATATGCAATGGATACACTTTCATATTATGTCACATAAATATTGGATTTAGAGGCAGTTGTTTTAAAAAAACTCCATTCAAATGCTCAAAATTGAGATTCTCTCCAATTCAGTTACCTCATCAAAACAATGGCAATCCTTTTTTTCTGATAAAACTTTAAGTCGGTCGTAATGGATCATGATCCTTTCAAAGTTATTTCAACTTATAAAACTGTATATACTTTTGTAGCCTTAGATTTACTGCTTTCGTGCTGACTTGGGGGACAAGTGTTCTCATCTATCGCTAAATTAATAGTACTCATTCATATAGAATTATGTGAACATGTAATATTTACAATCTCAAAAATGAGCGAATAAAAGCTTCGGTTATACTGTGGAAAGACATCTTAATATATAAAACTTTAGGATTTAGACAAATATTTAGCATATCTAAAAGTAAAACCAACCTCTACTATGCTTTCAGAGTCTAAACACCACAATGCAACTTGCTACTCTAGTTTGGTGAAAAATAAAGACTGAGTCATGCTAGGTCGTTACAATCATTCAAACACAAAAGGTTATTCTGTACAAGGAAATCATTTAGAAATCAGAGGGATATTGAAACCTCACACCAAAGTCTGTCTCTTTCAATAGCATGGATAATAACGGTATTTTAGCATATTCTTATCACTGCATATGAATCACTTTAAAAGGTTATTGGAGAAAATCTGTCACTTTAAATCTCACACGAATGCGTGAGATTGTTCCTTATTTTGATATTAAAACTAGTAAAAAGTCTTACATGATATGAAAACCTCAGAAGAACTTTGAAAGTCCCTTTAAGTGCTGAACAAGGAATGCACATAAAGATCCACATATTTTTTCTCTAAAATATATTAAAACAATAAACTGACACATAGTTATTCTCTTACAGTCTTAAGAGTACACAGTATTGTATTGGTTATGAATATAGGGTTTCAAGGGCATGCACCACCTGAGACTCAAGATGGCTTGTCACTTTCTTTCTTCAGACGACTGTGGAAGACAAACAAAGATACGTAAACACTTAATGCACTCGGATGAGAAACACATTTTACATTTATTCAAGCAGGAAATGTGGCATGATGGTGGTTTGGAAAAATAATTAAATGACAAAACATGCTGAAGATGTCCTGTTAAATATCCATATAAAGAAGCATCTACATTTAGTGCGTCATATTAATACCCAAAAACAAAAATGTTAATTGTGTTTCCTTCCCAATAATATAATTTTAAGCCAACTCATGTTAGTAATAATGACATTACAGGCACCAACATCGCAGCTGACATTAAGGAGTCATGAACTCATGTGGCACTGGCATAAGTAATCAGAAAGGCTTTAATAAAGTCCACTACATATTTGCACTAAGCTGTACACTTATGATAATAACAAGATGCATTTTAACCATTGTTGTGTTTTATATTCAAATGAGTTTAATTCATGCAGGTTTTAGTAAGTTGCTCTTGACAACACAATTCAAATGTTTACCTGTAATAATCTTCCTGACTGGGTAATTGACCTCCATGCATGTGATGCTGATGCAGCCACTGCTGCTCCATCGCCATCCGCTGCAGCTCTGCAGACTGAGCGTGCATGGCCTGGAGCTGGTGCGCGGCCGACATTTGAGGAATGGGGCCCTGCAGCTCACGTGGATACGCAGCTCCTGTGGGAAAACCAGCAATAGAAACTGAAACAAAGTAAAGGAGTTGAAAAAAGGGAAAACTCAACATGTGGGCAATGTGTATAGAAAGAGCTGACAAAACACACCAAACAGTGGATGGCGCATCATCTCATGATCATGAGGGAGATCACTGAGTAAAGGGTTGGGTAAAGGACCACCAGGGAAAGGAAACCTGGCCAGACGTGGTCCTGTTGCCAGAGGGTCTACGAGAGGATGAGGGCTTGAACCTGGAGGAGGAAGTTGATCAATTAGTAAATATAAAAGGTGGAAAACACCCTGACTAATTTACATCTCAGAGTCCATGAAGTTAATTAATTCTCACCTTGACCAAGGGGGTCCTGCTGGTGCAGGTGTAGGTGGGAGTGAATGTGAGAGTGTTGGTGGTGATGTGGCGTCACATTGAGCATCTGTAGCCTTGCAGCGGGGTCAGTCGACACAGAAGCCATTCTCTCTGCATGAAGTCGTTCTGCAGTGAGTCGCTCCGCATAGCTCAGCTCGGGGCGCACCTGAGGTCCTACCAGCGCCATCCTCTCTCGCTCCAGATGGTTTAACCCAGGATGGAAGGGTGCGAAGTGGTGGGGAGGACCAGGAATGTGCGGAAGACCAATGGCCCCGTGTCTGGCGAAGTGCTCCATTGGGTTGGCGGAGGGGTGTAAAGTTTCGAGGTCTGGGGGCTTGACCTCATAGCCGGGCTTCATTCTCTCGCGGAGTTCCCTCTCTCGGAGATTCCTCAGCTCGCGCTCTCGGAGGCTGGGTTCAGCGCTGTACAGGCCGGGCATGTGGTAGGCCAGCAGGGGGTCCCCAGGACTCAGTGACACATAGAATGGATGGTTGCGGTTATTTGGTGACATAACATGGGGTCGGGCGTATTCACTAAGGGTGCGCAGTGCGGGTGTATCAGGACCGATGTAAGGGGGCACAGCGGCTACAGTGGTTGGTGGCTGCTCAAAGGAGTGACGACCGTGTCCCTGAGCCACCATCTGAGCCTCACACATACGGCTGTCATGTGAGGAACTGGAGGCTCTCTGTAAGCAAAGACAGAGTGTGAGATCAGTAAGACGTGTTTTGTGACAGACAGGATGTGAAAAAAAGAAAGTTGATAACAATGTTGCACTCACAGCATTTCTGTCAGCCTCCCTTTCTCTTTCTCTCTCTCTGTCTTTTTCTCTCTCGCGCTCTTGCCGAGCGCTGAGCTCAGCCTCTCTCCTCGACTTCTCCACGGCCTCCTCCCTCTTTCGAGCCAGCTTGGAGGATGAAAGTGGAGTGAAGAACAGGTCTGTTCTAGCACAGGAGTTGTAACCACGATCCAAGTGTTTAATGAACCTGAAACAAAAACAGATGTGATTTTATGACTATTGTATGACTTTATCACTTAATACACACAAATAAAGATATGATTCACTTAAAGGTTGCATTATCTTAAGCACCATGCATGTTCAATATTGAGAGGAACATGTACTAAATTCTTCCAAACAAGTGTTTGTTTTTGTAAAACTAACTGGTGATCATAATGGATTTATAAACTTCCCGGATTTATAAAGAACCTGGAATATTTTTAGGAAGCTGAGAAACCAAACTTAAGCTAAAAGATCAAAACACTTGTATCTATCAGGATGACACAAACTCTCAATGTATGCTAACACTGCTCTGTATCTGAATTGTGATTGTGCTGGGCGAACCTGAAGAAGCTACAGGTGAAACGCGTTGTTCACACGCGTTGTTTGATCCTGCAACTGTGAGCACCTGGGAGCGTGTTTAGGGCTGTGCATGGGGTACCCAGTCGACCATAGATACTGTTCTGTATCTTTTTGGTTTATACTGTTTGTTCACAAGTTTGCCAAATCTGCTTATCAAATGATAATAATTAAAGTGATTTATTTATCCTTTTTTGCTGCTTGCTGATCAAGGATTTGATCAAATATCTGTATTTGTGACTGCTTGTTTTGCTTTCCATGTTATAAGTAGTGTACTTTACATATTGAATGGCAAGAGCAAAACATTTGGAATCCTTTTGTGGTTTTCATGGAACACTTGTCTTTAGACATACCGTGCAGACTGGCTGGCATGACTTGCAATGTTGATGATGGTAGGCTCAGGTGAGGGGCTCCGGGGTGGAGACGGCGGGCTCTCTGCTTCCTCCATCTCATCCATCGGCTCTTCTTTAATCTGGATTTGTGATCCTCCTGCCATGGTACTTGGCAAGGGTCTCAGAGGAAGAGGAGGGATTGACGGCTGGAGGCTGGGGATCGGGCCAATCGTAGAAGGTGTGACGGTAGTGATCGGGTGTGAGGCTGCAGCGGGTGGGTGAGAGGATGTCATGCTTTTTCCAGGGTGGGTCGGCACCTGAGAGATAACTGGCAGTTGGGTAGGAAGTGACTGCATTGGCTGCGGCATGAGCTGAAGAGGAGGAGGGGGGGCCCCAGGGGGATGCTGGTTGGGCAGAGAATTCAGCGGCTTTAGAGCTGGGGGAGGGGGCAGATTTGAGGGCATCTGAGGAAAGGGTGTAGCCGACTGGTGTGGCATCTGTTTGTGCGAAGGTGGAATTGGAGTGGTGGGAGGAGGCTTGATTTGTGAGCCAGACAGAGGAGGCTGTGGGAGCTGAGACTCTCTGAAAAAGGGTGGGAGTCGCTGTG